TCCATGGGTCAGGAGCACCGTCAACATAAGAGAACACTATATCAACATCCATGGGTGCAGGAGCACCGTCAACATAAGAGAACACTATATCAACATCCATGGTGCAGGAGCACCGTCAACATAAGAGAACACTTATCAACATCCATGGGTCCAGGAGCACCGTCAACATAAGAGAACACTATATCAACATCCATGGGTGCAGGAGCACCGTCAACATAAGAGAACACTATATCAACATCCATGGGTGCAGGAGCACCGTCAACATAAGAGAACACTATATCAACATCCATGGGTCCAGGAGCACCGTCAACATAAGAGAACACTATATCAACATCCATGATTGCAGGAGCACCGTCAACATAAGAGAACACTATCAACATCCATGGGTCCAGGAGCACCGTCAACATAAGAGAACACTATATCAACATCCATGGGTGCAGGAGCACCGTCAACATAAGAGAACACTATATCAACATCCATGGGTGCAGGAGCACCGTCAACATAAGAGAACACTATATCAACATCCATGGGTCCAGGAGCACCGTCAACATAAGAGAACACTATATCAACATCCATGGGTGCAGGGGCACTGTCAACATAATAAGAGAACACTATATCAACATCCGTGGGTGCAGGGGCACCGTCAACATAATAAGAGAACACTATATCAACATCCATGGTGCAGGGGCACCGTCAACATAATAAGAGAACACTATATCAACATCCGTGGGTGCAGGGGCACCGTCAACATAATAAGAGAACACTATATCAACATCCATGGATGCAGGGGCACCGTCAACATAAGAGAACACTATATCAACATCCGTGGATGCAGGGGCACCGTCAACATAAGAGAACACTATATCAACATCCGTGGGTGCAGGGGCACCGTCAACATAATAAGAGAACACTATATCAACATCCGTGGATGCAGGGGCACCGTCAACATAAGAGAACACTATATCAACATCCGTGGGTGCAGGGGCACCGTCAACATAATAAGAGAACACTATATCAACATCCGTGGGTGCAGGGGCACCGTCAACATAATAAGAGAACACTATATCAACATCCGTGGGTGCAGGGGCACCGTCAACATAAGAGAACACTATATCAACATCCGTGGATGCAGGGGCACCGTCAACATAAAGAGAACACTATATCAACATCCGTGGTGCAGGGGCACCGTCAACATAATAAGAGAACACTATATCAACATCCGTGGTGCAGGGGCACCGTCAACATAATAAGAGAACACTATATCAACATCCGTGGGTGCAGGGGCACCGTCAACATAATAAGAGAACACTATATCAACATCCGTGGGTGCAGGGGCACCGTCAACATAATAAGAGAACACTATATCAACATCCGTGGGTGCAGGGGCACCGTCAACATAATAAGAGAACACTATATCAACATCCGTGGGTGCAGGGGCACCGTCAACATAATAAGAGAACACTATATCAACATCCGTGGATGCAGGGGCACCGTCAACATAAGAGAACACTATATCAACATCCGTGGATGCAGGGGCACCGTCAACATAAGAGAACACTATATCAACATCCGTGGGTGCAGGGGCACCGTCAACATAATAAGAGAACACTATATCAACATCCGTGGGTGCAGGGGCACCGTCAACATAATAAGAGAACACTATATCAACATCCGTGGGTGCAGGGGCACCGTCAACATAATAAGAGAACACTATATCAACATCCGTGGGTGCAGGGGCACCGTCAACATAATAAGAGAACACTATATCAACATCCGTGGGTGCAGGGGCACCGTCAACATAATAAGAGAACACTATATCAACATCCGTGGGTGCAGGGGCACCGTCAACATAATAAGAGAACACTATATCAACATCCATGGGTGCAGGGGCACCGTCAACATAATAAGAGAACACTATATCAACATCCGTGGGTGCAGGGGCACCGTCAACATAATAAGAGAACACTATATCAACATCCGTGGGTGCAGGGGCACCGTCAACATAATAAGAGAACACTATATCAACATCCGTGGGTGCAGGGGCACCGTCAACATAATAAGAGAACACTATATCAACATCCGTGGGTGCAGGGGCACCGTCAACATAATAAGAGAACACTATATCAACATCCGTGGGTGCAGGGGCACCGTCAACATAATAAGAGAACACTATATCAACATCCATGGGTGCAGGGGCACCGTCAACATAATAAGAGAACACTATATCAACATCCGTGGGTGCAGGGGCACCGTCAACATAATAAGAGAACACTATATCAACATCCGTGTGTCCAGGAGCACCGTCAACATAAGAGAACACTATATCAACATCCGTGTGTCCAGGAGCACCGTCAACATAAGAGAACACTATATCAACATCCGTGGGTCCAGACTACTTAACATTCTGCAAGAATATATCAGAAACACTGCTGGAAGAAGTGCAGAAGTCTTCAAGACCAAACTGGACAAGTGCCTCCACCAAGTGCCAGATCAACCAGCCTGTGATGGACATGTGGGCCAGCAGGCCGCAGGCAGTAACAGCCTGGTTGACCAGCCAAGCACCTGACAAGACTGGCTAATGGCAGGGCTACGAGAATGGGAAAACTCTGGAAACTCATCAAAGGTATATATCTAAGGTGCAACCCACCAAAGGTATATATCTAAGGTATACCTAACCCGTCAAGGGTATATCTAACCCACCAAAGGTATATATCTAAGGTATAAACCACCATAGGTATATATCTGTTACACACAACAGTACAATATTCACTACCTTCCCCCCCCGACATACTCTTGTAAGAGAGTGCGATACCTTCTACAGTACAGGTTTCAATTACTACAGTAGATAGACTCTAGTTATCTCTTGTTATCAGCGACCTGGTATCCCACAAGCACATTATCCGGGTTAGTAACCCAGGGAGGGTTAGTACCCCAGGGGGTAACTTAGGCCGACCGCTGTGGTTTACTGCCAGTGAGGCTCCTTAGGCCTCTTCCCCAGGATGTGACCCAGTCTGGTAAGGTGGGAAACAGGTTGTGAACACGGGCGGGGCCAGGAGCTATGACCCGACCCCTGCAACCATGACTAGGTGAGTACAAGGTATACACGTCAGGACACCAAGCAAATATCACCACCTTGCCATACCATGTAAGAGAGTCTGGTATCTTATACCACGCTTGGCCACTCACAGGACTGATACCAGTGGTATCTGGAGATGGTACTCAACACTGTGGGACACAAGGTACCTATGGTACCTTGCAGATCCATCCACTCAAAGGACAGATACCAGTGGTATCTGGAGATGGTACTCAACACTGTGGGACACAAGGTACCTATGGTACCTTGCAGATCCATCCACTCACAGGACAGATACCAGTGGTATCTGGAGATGGTACTCAACACTGTGGGACACAAGGTACCTATGGTACCTTGCAGATCCATCCACTCACAAGACAGATACCAGTGGTATCTGGAGATGGTACTCAACACTGTGGGACACAAGGTACATATGGTACCTTGCAGATCCAATATTCTCCACCTGACTCTCCACACTACATACTCCAGCACCCTTCGCTCAGCTAGACGTCTTTCTGGCTTGATAAAGACCACTGTGTGGGCGAAACGTTGTTGATAAGGGATCACATTATAGTGGAGTTGTGTATCCTGTTGGTATTTTGTACGATTTATTTCCAGTAGTGGGAAGTTTGATACAGAGAGAGAAATTTTGCCGATTACTCACCAACGTGACCTGGGCACCATGACCTAGGCACCAACATGACCTGTCATCAACGTGACCTGGGCACCATGACCTAGGCACCAACATGACCTGTCATCAATGTGACCTGGGCACCATGACCTAGGCACCAACCTGACCTGTCATCAACGTGACCTGGGCACCATGACCTTGGCACCAACATGACCTGTCATCAACGTGACCTGGGCACCATGACCTAGGCACCAACATGACCTGTCATCAACGTCACCTGGGCACCATGACCTAGGCACCAACATGACCTGTCATCAACGTGACCTGGGCACCAACATGACCTGGTCACCAACGTGACCTGGTCACCAACACACTGCCACATCCTTGAGGTGTACGTGGTGACGGGCGAATCAGTTCCAGAACGTTTGAATCATTATGTGACCAGAATCATATCGAGACAGAGCAGTCAGAGTACACTGAATCATATCGAGACCGAGCAGTCGGAGTACACTGAATCATATCGAGACAGCAGTCAGAGTACACTGAATCATACCGAGACAGAGCAGAGTACACTGAATCATATCGAGACAGAGCAGAGTACACTGAATCATACCGAGACAGAGCAGAGTACACTGAATCATATCGAGACAGAGCAGTCAGAGTACACTGAATCATATCGAGACAGAGCAGTCAGAGTACACTGAATCATATCGAGACAGAGCAGTCAGAGTACACTGAATCAGTGTAAACAGTGTACTGAGATCTGTAACAGTTATCCATAGAAAGAAAACAGCAGGAGTGAACAAAGCTTTGACCTGCACAGTGAACTCCCTCGGTTAAGTGTTCACAGGCGCTCACAGCAGAGCCATCCAACGCTCTTTGAGCCCTCAGTAAAGACTATCCCTGAGACACAGACAAAATCCTGCTGGAAGAGTGATGGTGGTGCAGTATCTGTCTCAAACACAGTTATGGCACCTACTAGTGCCTAGCACTCAACATCACCCACCACTGTGGCACTCACGACCACCTCTTTGGCCTCCACCAATCACCTAAGGTTACTCAGAGTGGCTATAAACCGTGCCACAGTGCCCAACGCAACCTACCCTCCTTCACTACACGTTATTGTTAAAATGCATTCCTCTCTCAATTATCTTCCTAACACATGACAGTCCTTGGAAAATTGGCACAAACTTAGAGGGTGACACAAGCACATGTGGTAGGCCACACACACACACACCACACACACACACACACACACAAACAGTAACCACACAGGAGAAGAACACTGCAACTCACCTCAAGCCATTAACGAAGAATTTCTCAGTGATGTAGTCACGGCAGTTCGAGTTCTCAAAGGCCAGGTAGAATTTGTAATCTTTGTTGAGCATTTCAAAACACTTGGCAGAGTTGGACCTGGGGCATCGCTTGGTGCCACAAGCACCGAAGATATCCACACCAATATACTTGCCTAGTTCCTTGGCGTACTGCAAGCGGTTGTTGCGAGCGCCACAGTTGGATACAAACCACGCCACTTGTTTGGTCTTGTTGGCTGCGTAGTTGATCTCCTGTGGTTTCTGGTAGATGGCGTTATCGTAGTAAATCCATTTCTCGTAGGGGGCCACAATGTCGGAATCGTGACGGTAGGTAGCAGTCCAGTTGAAGACATTTTTATTAGTGAAGTGTTGGGTGTGTAGTGGACACTCCAGCATAAACATGACCCACACCTGGCGCAGGTCACGGCTGTGTGGAGGCATGCTGAAGTGATCCTTGAACATGATAGCATCAGCCGACGTTAGTTCTGACCTGCTACCCGTCAGAACACACGTGTCCACCGGACATTTTAACTTCAGGAACTGCCCCCGTCCAGCACGCAGTCCCCACGAGTTCATTCCATTGTACATAAGGATTTTCTTAAAATAGGGGAGCGCCTTGTCTGAAGCTGCGGGGTCAGGGTGGTCTTCTAGCATGAGGGGGGGCGGTGGGCGAAACATCAGCTGCTCCACAATACGATCGTTAGGATCTTCATCAGGCCATAGTTTCTCCCGTCTCACCCACTGCTCAGCATCGACAGGAACCTCAGGTCTCAACTCTCCACCCTTCAGGAACCAGAGTCGATGACTCGGAGGTACTGTAGTTAAGGTGACATTTGGTAATGGCTGTGGTCGTGGGGCGGTGGGTGGCACCCTTTGGTAGGTGTCTCCACCCTGACCGCCCTCAACAGGGCGGGCACCACTTGCCCCATCGTCTACCACCTCAATAACTGGGTGGTCGAGGTGCGGCGTGCGACGCAAGGTGATGGCCGAGGAACCTGGCGAAGTCAGCCAGGTGCCACCTGGCTGATGTACAGATACCAGCAGCAGGGAGAAGGTGGTAGCGGCTGACAGGTATAGCAGACCTCTACGTAGTGATACCCTGGGCATCCTGCCTCCTACCCTCCCATCACCGGCACCGCTGCAACAACAAGAGCAACACTGTTAGTACTCGTGCAACCATCAACACAAATACACCCAATAAATTATACACTCTGATGTATATATCAGAATACAATCAACAATTGTCAATATTGAATAATAACCCACAAAAACACAGGAGGTTGACTGATCTGTAAATTTCGACTCCCTTCTGGGGTCCTCTTCAGCAGATCTGCTGAAGAGGACCCCAGAAAAGGGCCGAAATATACAGATTAATCAACCTTCCGAGTCTCCGTCTCCATATGGGTAATTATTGAGCATATCAGAATGTACGAATGTGTACACTGAGGGGAAGTGCATGTACACATGGAGATTTACACACACACACACACACAGAGAGAGAGAGAGAGAGAGAGAGAGAGAGAGAGAGAGAGAGAGAGAGAGAGAGACAGAGAGAGAGAGACAGAGAGAGAGAGACAGAGAGAGAGAGACAGAGAGAGAGAGACAGAGAGAGACAGAGAGAGAGAGACTAGCCAGGTGAGAGGTACAGTCAACAATAGGGTGACAGTAGATGACCAACACACCTAAACAGTGAATTACAAACACTATCTTCCCCTGATCTTCATTTCTTCCTCTCTGTTTATTTGACCAAGAGTATATTTCCAATTGTTCCTCCTGGTACCTCATTACATATAATTCCTCTGTCTATTACCTATAATAGACTCAACCTAAGCCAGAGTGTCCTGTCATCCTCTTGACAATTCCAACCCCAACACACCTTTCTAACCTCTTCCTCTATCCCTCCACCATCCTTCATCCCCCTAACCTTCTCCCTCCCTATGAGTGGATTCCTCACGACGAAGATCCAGGGATAACTGGAACAACTGTGACTGGAAGGAGCTCAAGAAGATAATAATGTTCCAGTGGTAAGTGGAATCCTCACGACGAAGATCCAGGGTTAAGTGGAACAACTGTGACTGGAAGCAGCTCAAGAAGATAATAATGTTCCAGTCGTAAGTGGAATCCTCACGACGAAGATCCAGGGTTAACTGGAACAACTGTGACTGGAAGGAGCTCAAGAAGATAATAATGTTCCAGTCGTAAGTGGAATCCTCACGACGAAGATCCAGGGTTAACTGGAACAACTGTGACTGGAAGGAGCTCAAGAAGATAATAATGTTCCAGTGATAAGTGGAATCCTCACGACTAAGATCCAGAGATAACTGGAACAACTGTGACTGGAAGGAGCTCAAGAAGATAATAATGTTCCAGTGGTAAGTGGAATCCTCACGACGAAGATCCAGGGATAACTGGAACAACTGTGACTGGAAGGAGCTCAAGAAGATAATAATGTTCCAGTGGTAAGTGGAATCCTCACGACGAAGATCCAGGGTTAACTGGAACAACTGTGACTGGAAGGAGCTCAAGAAGATAATAATGTTCCAGGGGTAAGTGGAATCCTCACGACGAAGATCCAGGGTTAACTGGAACAACTGTGACTGGAAGGAGCTCAAGAAGATAATAATGTTCCAGTCGTAAGTAGAATCCTCACGACGAAGATCCAGGGAGAGCTGGAACAACTGTGACTGGAAGGAGCTCAAGAAGATAATAATGTTCCAGTCGTAAGTGGAATCCTTAGACAGACTGGTGTGAGGAGCGTTGCAGGGAGAGAGAGGATGAAAAGCGGATCTAGCAGCCACGCTCCTGTCTAACTCCTACCAGTGGAGCATGGCTAGTATATCCGAATCCTCAGGTACAATGGGAAAGTATATTTAACATATCTGCAATCTGCATAACATCAATTTCGTATTACGTTAGATGGGAAGTACATGTCAGCTCCTGGAGATGAGGTACATGTCAGCCCCTGGAGATGAGGTACATGTCAGCTCCTGGAGATGACGTATATGTCAGCTCCTGGAGATGAGGTACATGTCAGCCCCTGGAGATGAGGTACATGTCAGCTCCTGGAGATGACGTATATGTCAGCTCCTGGAGATGACGTATATGTCAGCTCCTGGAGATGACGTACATGTCAGCTCCTGGAGATGACGTACATGTCAGCTCCTGGAGATGACGTACATGTCAGCTCCTGGAGATGAGGTACATGTCAGCCCCTGGAGATGACGTACATGTCAGCTCCTGGAGATGACGTACATGTCAGCTCCTGGAGATGACGTACATGTCAGCTCCTGGAGATGACGTACATGTCAGCTCCTGGAGATGACGTACATGTCAGCTCCTGGAGATGACGTACATGTCAGCTCCTGGAGATGAGGTACATGTCAGCTCCTGGAGATGACGTACATGTCAGCTCCTGGAAATGACGTACATGTCAGCTCCTGGAAATGACGTACATGTCAGCTCCTGGAGATGACGTACATGTCAGCTCCTGGAGATGAGGTACATGTCAGCTCCTGGAGATGAGGTACATGTCAGCTCCTGGAGACGAGGTACATGTCAGCTCCTGGAGATGACGTACATGTCAGCTCCTGGAGATGAGGTACATGTCAGCTCCTGGAGATGACGTACATGTCAACTCCTGGAGATGACGTACATGTCAGCTCCTGGAGATGACGTACATGTCAGCTCCTGGAGATGACGTACATGTCAGCTCCTGGAGATGACGTACATGTCAGCTCCTGGAGATGAGGTACATGTCAGCTCCTGGAGATGAGGTACATGTCAGCTCCTGGAGATGAGGTACATGTCAGCTCCTGGAGACGAGGTACATATCAGCTCCTGGAGATGACGTACATATCAGCTCCTGGAGATGACGTACATATCAGCTCCTGGAGATGACGTACATGTCAGCTCCTGGAAATGACGTACATGTCAGCTCCTGGAGATGACGTATATGTCAGCTCCTGGAGATGAGTTGACAAGCCACCATCCTTGACAAGCCACCATCCTTGACAAGCCACCATCCTTGACAAGCCACCATCCTTGACAAGCCACAGTCAACCATCTAAGATGAACATTCCAACATCTCCCAAAGGAATCAGTTTCTTGTCAAAGAGGTCGTTCACTTGCGTGCGTGCGTGCGTGGATGGGGATTAAGAATGTGTCAATCCACAAGGTCGATGCTCCCATTGTCATCTCCCATCACCAGCATCCTTACTGACAAAAGATGTCGCATCATTCTTCCCTGGTGCCCTCCCATCCTCCTGCCTATCCTGACCCCATCCTCCTGCCTATCCTGACCCCATTCTCCTGTCTATCCTGGCCCCATCCTCCTGCCTATCCTGACCCCATCCTTCTGTCTATCCTGGCCCCATCCTCCTGCCTATCCTGACCCCATCCTCCTGTCTATCCTGACCCCATCCTCCTGCCTATCCTGACCCCATCCTCCTGCCTATCCTGACCCCATCCTCCTGCCTATCCTGACCCCATCCTCCTGCCTATCCTGACCCCATCCTCCTGTCTATCCTGGCCCCATCCTCCTGCCTATCCTGACCCCATCCTCCTGCCTATCCTGACCCCATCCTCCTGCCCACGATACATTAAGACAACACTAACCTATCTTCTACCATCTACCTTCTATCTACTACACATTAACTATCCTAAATGACTATCCAACACGTCCACTACACCTACAAATCTTCCCCACCCCTCCCACACACTGTTGGGCTCTCCATCCAGGTGATTACCTATTGGCAGGTACAGTAAACCGAACCAATATCAGCCAGCAATATTCTTAAACACTGCCTCCTGGAGTAGGTGCTCCCTACTCCAGGACATGTGTGTGTCACTACCCCATACAATACCTACCTCACCTCTCCTACATAACCCTCTACCACCCTTCTTCTATTGTTAACCATGCCTTTCAACACTCATTATTACTGTTGTAGGTATACAGGAGAGGCAGGAAGTGTTCAGTCAGTTTCTCCTCCAGCAGCTGCTGCTGCGTCTCTCCACATCCTGTGTATTGATCCTCTGTGGTGTAGGAACCTCCCTCACACCCTCACCAGTGTTGGAGCCCCTATCTCCCTCCCTCACCAGTGTTGGAGTCCCTATCTAACTTCCTCACCAGTGTTGGAGTCCCTATCTAACTTCCTCACCAGTGTTGGAGTCCCTATCTCCCCCCCTCACCAGTGTTGGAGTCCCTATCTCTCTCCCTCACCAGTGTTGGAGCCCCTATCTCCCCCTCACCAGTGTTGGAGCCCCTAACTTCCTCACCAGTATTGGAGCCCCTATCTCCCTCCCTCACCAGTGTTGGAGCCCCTATCTAACTTCCTCACCAGTGTTGGAGCCACTATCTCCCCCCTCACCAGTGTTGGAGCCCCTATCTAACTTCCTTACCAGTGTTGGAGCCCCTATCTAACTTCCTTACCAGTGTTGGAGCCCCCTCACCAGTCTTGGAGCCTCTATCTCCCTCTCTCTCATTCCTCTAATCCTTCTAGGTAGGTAGCTCAGGCCCTCCAGCTAGCTTGTTCCTGAAGGCTCCTGAGGACCCCTGAAGGCTCTCGAGGACCCCTGAAGGTTCCTGAGGACCCCTGAAGGCTCTCTAGGACTCCTAAAGGCTCATGAGGACCCCTGAAGACTCTCGAGGACTCCTGAAGGCTCCTGAGTACCCCTGAAGGCTCTCGAGGACTCCTGAAGGCTCCTGAGTACCCCTGAAGGCTCCTGAGGACCCCTGAAGGCTGTCGAGGACCCCTGAAGGCTCCTGAGGACCCCTGAAGGCTCTCGAGGACTCCTGAAGGCTCCTGAGGACCCCTGAAGGCTGTCGAGGACCCCTGAAGGCTCTCGAGGACTCCTAAAGGCTCCTGAGGACCCCTGAAGACTCTCGAGGACTCCTGAAGGCTCCTGAGTACCCCTGAAGGCTCTCGAGGACTCCTAAAGGCTCCTGAGGACCCCTGAAGGCTGTCGAGGACCCCTGAAGGCTCCTGAGGACCCCTGAAGGCTCTCGAGGACTCCTGAAGGCTCCTGAGGACCCCTGAAGGCTCTCGAGGACTACTGAAGGTTCCTGAGGACCCCTGAAGGCTCTCGAGGATTCCTGAAGGCTCTCGAGAACTCCTGAAGGCTCTCGAGGATTCCTGAAGG